TTGGAAAACGTGGAAGGACGTCAAACTTGGACTACAAGCGAGCCTGACTACTGCTGCAGTTCAAAAAGGGCAGGACCGGCTTTCTTCTCTCTCTTTTTAAGACTCGGCTCTCTATGAGGTATTTCAATCTGCCACCCACCATCTTACACGCGGCCAGTTCCAGGATCACGTACAACACCGCGAACAGAGACTCGATCGAAATTACGCCTGCAATACCCGAAGGGGCCAGTGGCCTCGCCCCGTTTTTATAACGTCCCCGCACCTACTACGATACTGATAACCCCAGCGCAAGCAATGCATTTTCGATATACTTCAGCCGGTTTGCGTGGAATTGGAATTCCGGAGGGGTGGACTTGCAGCGTTTGGAAAAATTAAAGAGAAAAAACGCGAAAGCCAGCGTACATACAGATGTCCATCGATGAGAAAAGAGACCAGTTCTCCGGAGGCATTCGCGTTTTTAAGACTCAGTCGTTAATCAGCACCGGAATACTAATTACTAAAAGTGAAACATTTCCAAATTAAAACCAGTCCCTACATTTCACCTCCTTTTGTTGAAAAAAAAAGCAAGTAAAGTCATGACTCAGAGATAAGCATTGTGCAATAAAGTAAGGCTCATTCCCCCGTGTCTATGTTTTCACTGCTGCTTCTCGAATTTTTTTTTGTTGTTTTTAGTTCACTCTTTTAAACCAGCACGCTTGCCTGAGCTTTCAGGTCATGTAGCAAGGCCGTAAAAGACGGATCTCCGCTTACACCTTGAGGTGAATTATGCAGAGCACGAAGTGCACGGGCTTAGATATCTTTTAAGAATAACAATTATAATGGAGAAAAGAAGCGACAAGCCAACGCATCTCTACAAAACCGATGCGTATGGGTCGATCTCTCGCTCATCTTCGTTTTCGCACAACTTTTTCACCTCTTTCCGCCTCAATGTATCACATCTTTTTCTATGTTTTTTTTTCGGAGCCCCATGGCGTCTGGCTAATCCAGGTGTGCGACCCGTGGCCATTTCTCTAACCGCCCGGCTCAGACGTGTCTTCATCCGATCATCTACCTTCTTAATTGGCGTGTTTATCAGCTACGCTGATGTGACTGGCCCATGTAGCTTCCAGCATTTTTCAAACGTAACCGTGGAACGAAAGCTCTATATTTTCAGAATCGTCGTCTAGATATGAGTCAATCTGGAGATCGGGACATACGCGTTTTTTCTAATCGTAACGCCGAATTCCCTTCAGAAACGGTACACATATCGCAAGAGAGAAAGGCTTTTCCTTCAATATGGCAACGTAAGTCGGGATGATTTTGTTCGCCCCCCCCTCCCCCCCCCCAAACCACTCAATTTCCTTCACACCCCCGACCCTTACGGGAACCATCTTGCTAGGAAACGCAGCCACTATTACACAGAACACACAACACAAGCGCTTACGTTGTGTTGTATTAGGCGCTTGTGTTGTGTGTTCTGTGTAATAGTGGCTGCCCTTCCTAGCAAGATGGATCCTTACCAACTGGCCCGATACAATTGTTTATTGCCTTACGGGAAACTACGTTTCGTGACTGGCTGAGGTTAGGTTGAGAAGCCTGCGCTAAGCACTGCGCATCGAGAAGCGACAAAAGTCAACATCGCATTTTACATTTGTTTACTGGCGCACCCGCCGATTGCAGCGCCACACTGAGGGCGGGGTGGGGGAAGGCAAGGTCGTCCCGACGAAACGTGCAAAGCGCGACGACACGCACAGTCACAACCGGTTGCCGTCTTTCGTCATCGTCGGCGTGCACGCAGAAAAAAAGAGTCCTGCTTTCGCGAGCGAAAGCTGCCGCGGATCATATCGAAAAGAAAAAAATATAAAGAAGAATTTGCATATGGAACATCCCGAGTCGGCACAAGCGGCGTGACGAAATTGAGTGCCCTACAGCGTAACATTAACCTCGGATATGTGGATCAAGGCTGGTAGCGAGGACGAACTTGTACGCATATGGGACTAGGTAGTACAGATTGCTGGCCAGCTGTGCGCGAGAACCGAAGAAAAAAAAGAACGTGCATGTCGCGTGATGAACCCCTTATCACGTGGCTTTGAACAAAAACGGTTTGTAAGATGTCACAAGCCATTGGAGTAGACTGCAGAGGTGCTGCTCAGACCCGCCTTCTTGCCCTTCGTAGTTTTAAAATGTTGCATATACAAACGCGTACACACGCACTACCACCAGCATGAACGTAGATAAAGATTTTCCCCGACACCCCCCCCCCCCCCCCACCTGAAAAAGCGTTCAAGCTACTCATTTGTCAATAGCCTTTTCGTTTTCATGTTTTCCTAGTCCTTTGTCCGCTTCTTCTATCCATCGCATAAAAACAAAGACATAAAGCCTGATGCCACGAACCAGGAATAGCACAGATTGAGCCCGTGGCGGTACATACGAGTACAGACGATTACAATGAGGCTACAGAAGGCAAGACAATACAGGACTGGCCGCGTGATAGCTAATCGTAATAACAATAAGTGCCAAGACCCCGACACGATTACGAGTCCCGCCGTAGTAGAGGGCCCCTGAAACGTTTACAATCTGTTTTTTTTTTTTTTTAACGTCCGTCTATAGCATTTTTGGCTCCACCGAAATTCGAGCACCGCGGTAGAGCCTACGACCATCGCGTTAGCAGCTGATTGATGGATATGTGGGGTTTAACGTCCTAAAACGACAATATGATTCTGAGAGACACCGTAGTGGAAGGCTCCGGAAATTTCGACCACCTGGGGTTCTTTAACGTGCACCCAAATCTGAGCACACGGGCCTACAACATTTCCGCCTCCATCGGAAATGCAGCCGGGATACGGGTCAGCAGCTGAACACCATAACCGCAGCAGCGGACGTACCGAATCGTGCTGATCATACCTAACCCTGGTGCAACGTGTAAGCATATATTTCGTTTACGACTAATGCTATAAATCGTAGTCCTCATAAGCAGCGTTCTAGCTCTTGCGAACGTGCAAGACCTCGATCCTTTATCGCCGATAGAGCGGGCGCACTTTCTGCTTGCTGATTGATTGATTTGTGGGGTTTAACGTCCCAAAACCACTACATGATTATGAGAGACGCCGTAGTGGAGGGCTCTGGAAATTTTGATTACCTGGGGTTCTTTAACGTGCACCCAAATCTGAGTACACGGGCCTACAACATTTCCGCCTCCATCGGAAAACACTTTCTGCTTGCTTCCATGGGAACGCGTTCGCCCAAACGGAACGTTGACTGGACTCGCGACCCCGAAAAGTATTGAAAACACTGGTCACGTGATACCGAATTCGTGACAACGAACACGCGCAACATAATTCACCAGGAAGTACGCGAGCGTGAATGTCCCAAAATCGGTATTCACACTAAGAGCGTGCGTAAATGAGCCTGTTCCTGCGCATACGAAGCGCGCAACGCAACAAAACGCTCCATTTCTTATCCGGACGAAAGCCGCCATCGACCAGGCAGGCGAAAGCACATTTATACATACAAACGGTGACGATACCGCTTACGGCCATTCTCGTGATTTCCTTGAAAAAAGTGCGTAGACACCGGTGGATAAGCAAGGATGCGCCAGCAAGCCTTGTAATTCAAGGGCGTGCGTAGAGTGAAACCACTTCCCTGTTTGCCTACTGCTGCGCGCGGGAAACACCGCATCGCCTTTAGACGTCAACACGAGCTTGGAGACTCTCTCAATGAGCATGCCGACGCTGTCACCCACAAAGCGCAGCTCCAAGCTATGGTAACCTTGCTTCATTTATCTTGACAAAGTTCGCAGAGATGTTGCGAACGCACGACCTGTTCAAAGCGTATTTAAGACAGGTTCGTGCTATGCCTCAACTAACTTGCTGTGAGCGGAACAAAAATGAAGTAAAGGTTTCTGCGCACGCGGTTGATAACACCAACAAACGTGGTGTGTGCTAAATAAACAGTCTTAAATCGGAAAAGCGTAGCTCGTCATTCTCGGGCATTTCATGTGTGAACACAAGAGGCTTATTTAAACAATCCTGAGCCGCAAGTTTCCATGCTGAAGGCTTCGGGTTTTCCTGGGCACTTATCGCTTCCGATAATAAAGTGAAGTTTTGGCCTAGCTGCTCTTGCATCTCATGAAGGACGAACAGCGCGATGTTCTACACGGGGACATAAAAGATATACTTCATAATGCAAACTAGCCCGAAGCTTCACTTTGCTAAGGAGACGCAAGAAGAGACACGCAAAGCTTGTCTGTGTCTTCACTTTTGTGTCCCTGAGTAGAATATTGCGATGTTCGTACTTTCCGCATTTACTGCGTCCAGCCATGGAAACGCGCAAGCCCAAGTGAAACGCTGACACGGACTCGTGACGGCGCCCTTTACGAGCAATTAATTGTCAGGCGAATATCAATACCTATTATAAGTCTCCAGATATCTCTCTCTTAAACACGGTGCCTTCGTTGAGCGTACTGTCGTTTCTGTCGCCTAAACCGAACAAGCTGAAAAATGGCACTCAACGGATTTGAGTAGTTTCGTGATTGAGGTGGTGAGAGACACGACTCGGCTTTACGGCCGTGTGCGTACGCATCTATATACACAAACGAAGTGTAAACATTTTGGTCGATCGAGGGGTGGGCTGTTGAAACTCCTCATCCACAACCAGAGGCAATTCGCGCGGTAATAATGTTACCACGGGCACGTCAGCCTGCAAACGTAAGTGCGATCAGAAGACATTGTGTAAACCATAGAGCGAACGCAGCCAAGGAAAAGAGGAAAATGAGGTAAGCACAAGACACAACGCTTGCATCCGCCTGTTTGAGCTGTAACGTTTAAAAGATGGAATACGACCCCCTCTCCCAACCCCCAGCAAGCAATCTTCATGACCACAATAAGGGCCAGGGGTACGACCAACTATCCGCGCGGCCTTCGCAGTATTTATTTTCCACAAAGCCTTTACTACTACTCCACTTTTTTTTTTTTTTCGAACGGAAACCATCCAACACTTTTTTCCAAACGGAAGAAGCTTACGTAGTCATCAATAGGACCACGCGTGCAGTCACACAACCGCACGAAAAGAGCAGCATCGCCCACACTCACCCTTTCGTGAAGCGATCGCAAGTCGTTGGTGATGATCTGCGGCCTCGGCGGGGGCGGCTCTTCGTCCGAGTCGCACTCGTGCTCGAGCTCGGCGTCGATCTCCTGCTCGAACTGCACGAGCAGCGGCGCCAGCATGCCGAGACGGGCTCCGCGGCGAGCCACTTCGAGAAGGCACAGTATGAAGCTGCGCTCGTTCTTGCGCATCACGAGGTCCTCGGTCTCGAACAGCAGGCACTCCTTGATGTCGAGCGCGCGACAGAAGGCGATGAAGTTGGAGACGTTGTCGCGGGCCTGGAAGGTGCCGCGCTGGACGTCGGGGCGGTACACGACGTCCCGGTCGGGCAGCTTGAGCGCGGCCAGCCGGCCTTCGCGTCGAGCCGCCTCGAGAACCTTGTTCGCGTGACGGCACAACGTCACGCCGTCGTCCAGAGACTCCAAGAACGTCTCGGGCGTCAGCTTGAGGCCGTACAGCGTGTTCATCCACTCGGCCAAGTCTTCCTTCATGGCCCACAAGTATTCCTCGCTAGACTTGAAGGGCCTCAGCGGCCTGATCTCGAGCCGCACGGCTCCGAGCTCGTAAGCCGCCGAAGACATGACGACTTCTTTAAGTCCACCTCGGCCGGCTGGCCGCCTCTCTTTGAAACGAACTCCGACAAGCACTCACTGCACGCACGAAGCCAGCGCGCACGTCACAACACCACTCGCACCACCGTAAGTCGCCCCCGCCTCTCGGGAAGTCTTCGCGCCGGTGGTCGCGCCAACGTCGAGGCGAAAGCTGCCGTGTTGTGTAGTACGCGCGCCGACACGCCGCTAGAGCACCGCCCCGTCCATCTCACTCGTAGCGCGGCCGAACCGCTTTTCACTCTCGACGCTCGACAGCAGTCCGCCACGGGAGCACGCCAAACGGTTCTCCTGCGGCACTGGGTCACGTGGCCGGCGCGCGAAAAACGAGCGAGTTACGAAGCTGGCGCCAGCTGTCGGCAGTCGTGGGAGACTGCCGACAGCTGGCGACAGCTCGTTAGTGAACAATGCTTGGTGGTTGTGTTGCAGTGTGCGCGTGCTTGTGGTGATCGTGTAAACATCAGCGGCAAAGCGAAGCGACCCACCTTCAAGAATGCAATCGGCGGACCAATGAAAACCCCGGGCCTGTCAAGACGCACTTGGTACGTGATGACATGCATTACTGCATATTACCCAGCGCAATACAAACCTGAACACCTAGGCCTAACGCACTGAGACCCGCACGACAAGCAAACGGACAACATGCGCCACCTATGTCCCGGCAAACATAACTAAAATCGGAACTCTCCCAGGCGGCAATTTCAAATAGAAACTGGTGCCCAGCCTTAAGAATAGCCTATCGGTAACATATAGCAAATAGAGGCAGAACAACAACACAAATCGAACATCACACCTACACAAAATAACACTACCATTTTATGAGAAATTATAGCAACATGACCCGGACTCGCCGAGGTGCCCCAACAAAAGGAACCAGTGCCCGTGTAGAGGAGGACTCGTCGGACGGAACAGTAATGGTAGAATGTGAGACCTGCCAAGAATGGGCAAACATTGATGACACCCCGTTCTCCAGCACACAAGAAGCCCAGGCAGGCAGATACACGTGCAACCTCTGCACGAGACTCGCAGCAATGCAGGCTTCAATCGCACTTCAAGAAATAAAACTGCGTGCCGAACACTCACAACAAATTAGCCAAATAAAGGCCGAGTGGGAAGCTGCTCAAGCGGAAGCTAAAATAGATAGGCAAAACCTACACACTTTGCTGAGCACAGAGCGCAACTTGCGTGAAAAACTCGAGGAAGAGATTGGTACCCTCCAAACCCAAATAAAAAAACTCGAACAGACAAACAGTACTCAGGACGCCCAAGAAAACGGAGACCAGGCTACCTCAACTCCTCGACACGACTCCGGGACACCAGAGCCAAAACACCCCTCAGACAAGCAATTTCGCAGCCAATGGAAGGAAGACATTCCATCACAGGGCACAAGCAGGATAAGTGAAGACATTGAGCACACAGTTGAGCTAGCAGAGGAAGGCAATCCTGGGACACAAGTGGGCAAAAAAGGCCGACCCTTGAAATCAGAGAACACCAGCCAGAAACAGCAGCAGCTCAGCGCTGACCATAAACAGAAACATCCCTATCCTCAAACGCAGTCAAATGACCATCCACCACAAAGCAAACGCACTGTAGTCCTAGGCGACTCCAATGCCCATCGATTGAAAAAGCACCTCCGTAAAGCTATACATGATCAAAGACTACGCATCACTACAAAATCTGGTGCCAATCTTGAAGAAACACTTCACCGAGCTGAAGGAGAAATTCAGAAGGCAAATGCCACCAACACAGAGCTGCAACTAATAATACATGTAGGTACTACTGATCTTTTAAATAAGCAGACATTAAAAAGACCACTGACCACCTGAAGCAACAACTGACTTACTGGAGCCAAAAGACACCCAAACACCACTACATAGTCAGTGCCATCCCTGAACCGAAAGCAAGGGGTCAACAATTTGCTACAGCATGCCAAACATGGAACACGGCAGTTCAAACGGCGTGTACAGCCTTGGGCCCCAGTGTGCGGTTTATGTCAGCAGCCGCCCAGCTAACCGCAGATCACCTGGATGATATCCACTACTCGGAACAGGCAGCGGACCAGGTTGGCAGCCAACTAGGTGAGGCCATTAAATCTTTTTTATGGGACAAACAACCAACGCGCCCACAACACTGGAGACGATCAACAAGACCAGATCAAAGGACAGTGCAAACGCTACTGAAAGCAATGACACAGCCCTAGGCAAACTAGGACAGAGAAACCGGCACTGGTAAGCAACCAAGCAGGGCAAAACCATACGCACAACCCCCCCCCATTTCAGTCCTCCAGAGATCATTGTCAACCACTTTCCAGAAAAAGAAGAAACAGAAGAACAAAGCAGAGTGAAGTGAAAAAAGAACTCACCATATGCCTACTAAACATGCAAGGAACAAACAAACTCAAGTGGGCTGAACTCCAAGACCAAGTGAACAGACAAAAAATAGATATCTACGCTCTAACGGAAACTCACCTGCGGGACGACGAACAACCTCTGCTCCGGGGCTAGTATGGCAAGGAAAGAACAGAAGTAAAGGACAAAAACGGGGTGGAGGCATTGGTTTTATTACACCGAAGAGAAGCACTGTAAATGGGGACTGCCAGGACAAGGAACACATGTGGATAAAAATAAAGATTGACACACGTGACCTGTACATTTGTGTCATATACATGGCAACAGGCCTCGAGGAACAAAAGTGGAATGACAGCATTTACGCATGCCTCAAGAAAGACATTGAAGAAACCTACAAAGGCCAACCGGTACTACTGATGGGAGATTTCAACTGCCACATAGTAGAATTGGATGGTCACGAAAAAGATGCTGCTGGCTTCCGAAAATTAATTAAACAATGCAACCTACAAATAGCAAACCTCCATCCAGCTTGTGAAGGCACCTACACATGGTCACGCAGAGCTAACAAATCTGCTATAGACTACATACTTTACAATCAAGAGGTAGTAAGGCAAGATATAAACATCACAGCTCTGTACATAGACGAAGACAAAACAAACAGCTGTGGAAGTGACCACAACCGAATGAAACTGTGCTCAGACGCCATCAACCCCATCGAGTAAACCGGCCTGAAACTACAAAAGCTCACTGGCGAGTGAAAGAGCAAGAGCGCCTGGATGAATTTTCCAATAAACTCGAGTCAACATTAACAGAACCTCTAACATACGAGGAATTCGCAGAAAAATGCCTGTCAGTAGCACAAGAAACCATTGGGAAAACTAGTGAAAAAAAAAGGACCAGAAACACACCTTGGTTGATGGAGAACTGAAGACAGAAATTCGCATTCGCAAAGAATTATCCAGAAGGCACCGTCATACGCCCAATGAGTCGACAGAAAAAGAGGTAATTTGGAAGGAATACCTGGCCCAAAAAGAAAAGTAAAGGAAATGGCCGCAAAAAAGATAGACCAGAAATTCCAAAAAGAAGAAGAAAACCTGCATAAGGATCGTAACCATTACAGTCAGAAGTTTTGGGCATACATAAGGACACTGGAACCAAAGGACACCCTTCAGGAAGATTCACTCATACTACTTACTGAAAATAGCATTCCTCTACATACCAAAGAAGAAATTGAACAGCACATAACTAAACATTTTAAAAATATGCAAACCAATCCAGTAGATCACACCACCCCAGATCAGCAGTAGAAAAAAGGACAAGACCAGCACACCTGAAGAAGAAAAGCTGACTGGACCAATTTCTAAACTAGAACTAAAGAGACGCATAAATGATCTAAAAAACCAGAAAGCAACAGGACTCGATGATATACCCAACGAATTCCTGAAAGCATTCAAAACAGAGGCAAAGGAAATGCTACGCGGCTGCCTCAACGACATTCTGGCAAGCAGAAAAATACCAAGAACTTGGAAAGAAAGCCGGGTAAAGCTGATTCACAAGGGAAAGGGAAAGGAAACAAGTGACATTGGGGCGTATCGCCCCATAACAATACTGAGTAGCATTCTGAAACTCTTCAATACAATCCTGAATCGCAGGCTACAAAACCACTGTGAAAAAACCTTAATCTTGTCAGAATCGCAAAATGGATTTCGCCCAAACAGACGGACAAGTGACCATATCTTTACCCTAACCCAGGCAATAGAAATGAAAAACAGAGACAAATCTCAACTATACCTGGCATACCTGGATCTACAACAAGCATATGACTCAGTGCCGCACTCACGACTGTGGGAGAAGCTAGAAAAAATTAATATTGAGGAAGACTTCATCAAATTACTAAAAGCACTATATGCAGAGTGTACGGCAGTGTATGAACTGGGCAAATATAAATCTAGACAGGTGCAACAAAATATTGGACTCAAACAAGGGTGCCCACTATCGCCAACATTATTCAATATTTACATTAACAGCCTACTAGAACAAGTAAATAGAGAAGGACCAGGGCTACGTCTTTCCACCGTAACAACTGAGCGCCAAGAAATCTACACTAAAATTTCATGCTTGGCATTTGCCGATGACATCGTATTATTGGCTGAATCCCCAGCGGACCTGCAACATCTCCTCGACATATGCTCTCGCGTAGCCCACGAAGATTGCCTCACATTCAACACTGACAAACACAATGGATGGGCATAAACATTGATGACAAAGACATAACATTCACCATCCAAGGCAACACCATCAAGAAAACAGCAACATACAGATATTTAGGCATAACAATATCAGACCAAAAGAATTACCTTGACAAACACCAAGAATTACTCCTAAAACAATCCAACCGCCTAAAAGGTAGGGTGTGGCACCTGTCACGGCATTCCTACAACCCCTACAGGGTAGGCCGCACACTTTGGAAGACTCTTGCCGTGCCTGCAATAACCTACGCAGGTGACACATTGGCGTACTCTACCCAAACAGTGCGATGTTTGGACCGCCACCAAAATGAACTGGGGCGCTGGCTACTGGGAGGCAGCTTTGCAACAGCAAACGCAGCAGTAACAGGGGAGTTGGCCTGGTCAACTTTCGAAGCACGCGAAGCAAGGTCAAAAATACAATATGCGGGCCGGCTAAAGTTTCTACCAGAAACAAATTACAGCCAGCGCATATACCTACACCTTCCGATACAGGGGCATAAAAACACAGTGGATGAAACGACTGGCTTCTCTGGAAAATAAATTCGGCCATAACACAAAACTGGAAGAAGCAAAATCGGAACGAGAATGGCGTATAATAACAAAAAACACTATAACCGAAGCCAGCACAGAGATGTGGCGCACGTCGGCGGC